GCTCGCCCCGTAAACAACGCGGCCCGTCAGCTGGGCCCCGCTCGGGCCGCGGGAAAAGGCGGCGCGGATCACGCCTCGGAAGGGACTCGGCGCCGGAGAGGCCGAGAGCGCGGAGGGGGGCGGAGGGAGCCAAAGAGGCTCCGCCCCTCCCCGCCCCGCCCCACCGCCTCCCCCCGCCCCGCCTGGCGCTGGAGGCCGAGGGCGCTGCAGACTCCTAGCAGCTCGCGTCCCAGAGCGTGTGGCCCCCGTCGGCAGCTCCAGCGAGACACATCTTTGTCTTTCTTGTGCACTCCGGTATTTTGTTCATCATGGATTTTGGTGTGTTTTTTTTTGTTTATTGGTATTTTTTTTAATATTGCATTTAAATGTTATTTATCTTGGTTATTTGGGTTTGGGGCACGCCCTCACATTTTGCAGACTGGGCGAGTGCCTCTCTCACTTCACCCTAGTCCCAGCCTAGAGCGCGCCAGCAACTCCGATCTCCCCCTCCCCCGAGTGGGGGTGCCCTGGACTCCCCGCCTAGCGGCGGGAGCCACGCCAGGCCCCTGGGGACAGCCACGTGCCCCGTGCCCTGTGTGCGCCGTGCGCTTCGTAGTTGGAGTTGGAGAAATGGCGCCTAGGAGTGTTTCAGAAGCTCCTAACACTACAGACCAGGCGCTTGGAGACCCCAGGCTGGGTACAGGTGGACACGCCCGATTTTCGATATGCAGACCTGAGGTTCATGTAGGAGTCCTGGGTGTTGTAAACGGTTAAGCGCTGAACTACTAACCAAAAGGTTGGCGGTTCAAACCCACCCAGAGGATCCTTAGAAGAAAGGCCCGGCGATCCACTTCCGACGGGTCACAGCCGTGAAAGCCCTGTGGAGCACCGTTCTACTTTGACACACCTGGGATCACCATGAGTCGGAATTGACTCCATACCAACAAACAAAAACAACAGAGTTCATATGCATCTAAATAAGGCCATTCATGAATAGAGCTAGACAGTGCTCAACCACCCTCCTGAAGAGGCCAAAGGGGCTTCTGTATAAGAAATCCAGAACCCCGACCCCACACTCCCTTTGTAGCCTTGGACTAGTGACTTCCATTTCTCCGTCAGCGTCACTTGTATAATGGGTTTGACAATACCTGCAGGTTTTGTCAGGAAATAAAGCTTGGGAAAGCACCCAGCACAATCCTAGGCTCAGGGCGTTCATTCTTCCTCTCCTTTTTTAAACAGCTATTCATGTGACAGGCCCTGGCCTAACTCTCTTCTGCCTCTGGGCCTTTACCTGGCTATTACCCCTGTCTGTAACATTTCTGCAAACCCCCAGTGGCTGACCCCGCCTCTGTGCTCCAGTGACAGCCTCCCTCAGCAGGCTTTGCTAATGCCATCCCAACTCCTTTGTTCCTTTGCCCCGATATTTTGATAACCCACCTATCACTACCTGAAATCCCTATTTTTTATTGTTTACCTTGTTGTACATCTTCTTCCCTCCCGATGAAGTGGAAATCTCGTCAGTCTTGTTCACTACTCCTGGTGCCTGACACACTGTTGGTTAATAACTATTTGTTGAATGAAGAATCTTCAACAATGAAGTAATGGGGACTTACAGTGAGCACAATAAACAGGCTGCATTTCCTTGTAGACCTCACAACCTAGTGGGGGAGAGGGTCATTAACTATACAACTCTGTGTCTCTGTGTGTGTGTGTGTGTGTGT